ATCCTGGAAGCAGGCCACACCCCTAGGGAAACTCCCTTTGGGCAGATTGGCCACTCAGAACACAGTCGTCCAATCCCATCATGGGAACAACCACACAGAACTGGGGTCCAGCCAAGTTGACACAGCTTCAACTGTCACAGCAGGTAAACATCTTTCTGGTATTCTGTGCTTTCATCCAAGATCCATATGGCATCAGCAATGATAACTCTCATTTTACATCCTCTTCTCAATCTGGCATGAAAATCTGGCAGTTCCCTGCCAGTGTACTGGTGCAGCCATTTTATAATTCTCTTCAGCAAAATTTTACTTGTACATGGTATTAATGATGTGTTTGATAATGTCTGCATTCTCTTGGATCACTTTTCTTTGGAATGGACATGAATATGGATCTCTTACAGTTGATTGACCAGGTAGCTGTCTTCCAAATTTCTTGGCATAGACAAATGAGCACTTTTAGCTTTGTATCCATTTGTTGAAATATCTCAATTAGCGTTCTGTAAATTCCTGGAGCCCTGCCAATGCCTTTAGTGCAACTTGGATTTCTTCCTTCAATAGTATTGATTCTTGATCATAAGCTACCTCCTGAAACAGTTCAACATCAGCCAGTTCTTTTTGGTGGAGTGACTCTGTATTCCTTCCATCTTCTTTTGATCCTTTTTGCATCACTCGATATTTTGCCTATAGAGTCCTTCAGTATTGCAGTATTGCAACTGAAGTCTTGTGGAAGTTAATGTGTCAACTTGGCTGGGCATGGTTTTGAGTGACTGGGCAGCTGGATATGGTTATTCCCCATTATGAGACTGGTAATCACCTCCATGGTGGAATCTACTGTGAGCAGCTGAGTAGCTGCCTTAGGGATGTGGTCTGCTTCCAGTATGTAAGAAGATGCTTTGAGAAAGATCTTAAGCCTTTGGGCATGCTTGGGCCCTGCATGTAGGCTGAGTCTTCATTCAGCAGCCTGCCATGTTGCCGGATGATCTTGGGACTGTTTCTGAACTTGAACTGTGGCCTGCCACATTGCTTAATAATTTGGGGACTGTGCCATTTTACTTGTCGACTTTGAGTTTGTCAGCTTCAGCAGCCAACAGGTACCTGACTTGGGACACATCTCCAGTTCCATTGGCCATGGAGCAAGAGGCAGAGCTGAAGCCCAATGTCGAAGGACCTTCACCTAGCCCCTAGAGCTGGCACTTTCAGCTTGGACTTCTAGTCTCCTAAACTGTAAGAGAATACACTCCTGTTAGTTCAAACCACACACTCGTGATATTTTCTGTTAGTGCGGCCCTAGAGAACCAAAACAAGGCTTGAATTTTTTTGTTCAGCTCTTTCAGCTTGAGAAATGCCTGGCATGTTCCTCCCTTTTGGTTTTCCATCTCCAGGTCTTTGTGCATTTCATTACTTTACTTTGTCTTTTCGAGCCACCCTTTGAAATCTTCTGTTCAGCTTTTTTATTTCATCATTTGTTCCACTTGTTTTAGCTACTCTCTCTTTTCAAGAGCAAGTTTCAGAGTCTCTTCTGACATCCATTCTGGTCTTTTCTTTCTTTCCAGTCTTTTTAATGACCTTTTCCCTTCTTCATATATGATGTCCATGATATCATCCCATAACTCATCTGGTCTTTGGTACCTTTGTGTTCAGTGCACCAAATCTATTCTTGAGAAGGATTCTCACTTCAGGTGGGATATACTCAAGGTCATAGTTTGTCTCTTGTGGACTTGTTTTAATTTTCTTCAGCTTCAGCTTGAACTTGAATATGAGCAGTTGATGGTCTCTTCTGCAGTCATCTCCTGGTCTTTTTCTGACTGTTGATATTGAGCTTCTGTATCCTCTCCTTCCACAGATGTAGTCTTTTTGATTCTTGTATCTGTCATCCAATGAGGTTCATGTGTATAGTCACCATTTATGTTGTTGAAAAAGTTATATGCAACGAATAAGTCATTGGTCTTACAAAATTCTATCATGTGATCTCCAGAATTGTTTCTGTCACAAAGGCCATATTTTCCAAGTACTAATCTTGCTTTGTTTCCAACTTTCACATTTCATTCCCCAGTTATTATCAATGCCTCTTGATTGCATGTTTGATCAGTTTCCCACCGCAGAAGTTGGTAAAAATCTTCGTTTCTTCATCTTTGGCCTCAGTGGATGGTGCGTAAATTTGAATAATAGTCATATATTAACTGATTGTAACAGGATAATGGACAGTGAAAGAGAATGTTTCAACAAGGAATCAGAACAGGGTTAAAGATTGTAGAGGTATTTAGATTTGGCGAGAAAGCCATTGGCATCTTTAAGAAAACACCTTCATTAGAAAGATGGGAATAGTAATACTGTGCCTAATTGGAATGAATTCTACTTCGTAATTTGAGTGACACTCAGTAGAAGCCACAAAGCAAAGAAGAAGAAATGGACTTGGATGCCAACTGGCAATTCAATAAAATTTACACTTTTGTCAGATAAAAAACACTTTCTACTGTTACATCACCCTTCCGTGCAAACCATAGAATATCTGAGTTGGGACAGATCTTAGACATTAACACCAGTACTTTCCATTTTGTTGATGAGGAATATGAGGCCCAAAGAAATTGTGATTTATAAATTACAAGAACCAGCTAGTGTCTCATATGGAATGTCCAGCGTTTTAAACTGGAATGAAGGTGCTTACTAGTTTTTTCAGTATCTGTAATAATTTTAATCTATTCATTTGTTAGGTTCATGACTACAAAGAAGGAACTCCAGAAGAGAAGACTTACTATATAGAATTATGGGATGTTGGAGGCTCTGTGGGCAGTGCCAGCAGTGTGAAAAGCACAAGAGCAGTATTCTACAATTCTGTAAATGGTAAATGTTTTGTATTTCTACTTTATATTAATGGTCTAGGAATAGGGATCATCTGACACAGGATACTGTAGGATGTCATTCTCATCTTAACTTGAGAAAGACCTAATACATTCACCAATCTTGATTTAAAACTTCATATCACATTCTAGTTTGTGTTTCTAGATTTTAACTATGTAATCCAGTACATTAAATATCTAGTTTGTCTAAGTGTTTCTAGTTATATTATTGTCATAAACTAAGTAATGAGAAACAAAATTATATCTGGAGTAAGACATAAAACATAGAACTTTGAAAACACTGTGCCCGGGGAGTGCTGTTCTTTAGTCAGTTGAGGAAGTACACTGGAACCCAGTGTAAGCAGTCTCTTAGTGTAAGCCAGATGTCACAGAGATGTAGGACTTTTGTCTTCTTCTTAGGGTCAGGCTTATGTAATTTTTAAAGAGCTGCCTTAGAGTGTTGTTGTTGTTGTTGTTGTTGTTGTTGTTGTTGTTTGCCGTCGAGTCGGCCCCGACTCATAGCGACCCCTCCTTGGGTTTCCGAGGCAGTATCACTACGGAAGTAGGATTGCCCAACCTTCCTTCCGAGGAGTGCTGGTGGGTTTGAACCGCCAGCCTTCTGGTGAGCAGTCAAGTGCCTTAGGCACTATGCTACCAGAGCTCCTAGAGTGTTGTTAGGGGTGCAGAAATTTGTTAGGGGTGCAGAAATTTCATCCAATTATAGATATTCAAATCCCTGGAGCTAACTTCCAGATTCTTGAAGTTCATTCATAGAGCAGCTACTCTGTGTGATATGTCAAGGAACAAAACCATTGCAGTGTAGTAAATTACATGGTATAGCTTTTCTAGTCATAGTATCTGTAACCCCCACTTTGCCATGAACAACTGAGTAGCTGATTGTTCAAATTATCCACCTGGTATATTTCTGTTGGAGCAGCACAAAGCAATCTTCTGGGAAGTTCATTCTCTCTGTCAGGTGTATAGAATTCTGATATTGGAATTGGTTAGTTTTGCCACTGTGCCAGGCTCAAAGTGAACCCTCCTAGAGGCAGAAGAGAGTCCTTCTGACTGCCTGCTGAGAGAGACACACTGCTGAAGAGGGATGCATTGCTGAGAGAGAGATGTAAGAGAGACATAAGAGACACACATTGCTGACACATGCTACTGAGAGAGACTGAGAGAGACAGCAGCTGAGAGGGATGGCCTGCCAAGAGAGACGGCCGGCTGAGAGAGGCTTGAGTGTGTTTCTGATCTTGAATTGTAGCCTAATAAACCCCATAATCTCTGAGTTCTATATGGCCACTGCAGTGAATTATTGAACCCAGCAGAGAGGTGGTGGCTGCCACGAGAGGGACAGTTGGTATCAAGGTTGGTAAGAGGGCTGGAGGGTGGTGGCATGTCTGGCCTCACAAGAGCAGTCCTTGGGCTGCTGATGGTGATTCTGTCTTCCTCTTTTGTAGTTAAAGGAGGTCAGAAGATGCCGCCTCCCTGTCCCTTTTGCAATGCCTATAGGGTATCTTTCATTATCTTTTTATTTTTCCTTATTTTAGCACATTTTTTACTGTGAAATATAATTTCAGTTTACCTTTGATCAAAATATCAAAAGATTTGGCACCTCATTCTTCCTTTCCTGGTAAATGTGTAGCTATTAATAGATTATCATTTACATTGTGCTTAGATCTCATTCAATGTTAGGGAGGCATTACATTTATTAAGTACCCTCTTTATTTCTTCTATTCCTCTTGCAGTGTCTTCCCACATCATAGGGTGTCGTGGAGCCTGCAAAAAGCAGTCAAGAAGGTTCTTACCATTGGATGCATACTTTAGAGTACAGCATGAATTGTATTAGTTCAGACCCATATCCCGTCTAGTCAGAATCCCATCAGAAAGTGTCATATTTCTGAAACATTCATAAATGAAACTGCAAAAACGGCAAGGAGGCCACATGTTCTGACCTCCTCTAATCTCACAAGAGGAAGACAGGATTACCAGCAGTAACCCAAGGCCTATTACTGCAACGCCAGACATGCTGCCTCCCTCCAGCCCTTTCACCAACCATTCCTCCCAAAGCACCCACCACCTCTCTCCTGGGTTCGATAATTCGCTGCAGTGGCCACACAGAACTCACAGATTACAGGGTTTATTAGGGAAGCACCAGGCTACAACTCAAGTTCAGGAAGAATGCTTAGTCTCTCTCCCAGCCCACTGTCCCTCAGCCAACAGTCTCTCGCAGTCTCTTTCCCAGCAGTGCTGGTCCCTCTGTGTCTCACTCAGCAATGTGTGTCTCTTGCGTCTCTTTCCCAGCAGCATGTCTTCCTCCACCAGCAGTCAGAGAGAGAGTTCTGCCTCTAGGAGGCCTCCTTTTGAGCCTGGCAGGGTGGTCAAACTAGCCAATCATAGCATCAGAACTCTAAGCATCTGAGAGAGAGTGGGAACCTCCCAGAACATTGTATTGTGCCACACCCAACAGAAATACTCCACGTGGATAACATTTACAATCGGGAGCTCCTCAGTTGCTCATTCCACCACTGAGTTTACAATGACTTATGGGTAGAAAAGCCATACAAAGTAATTTACTACACCGCAGAAACAAAACATACAATAATGATATTCATATATATTATCATCATGAAAAAATGTATATGATAATGGCATATATTAATGCAGTGTACATAAATGAGAAAGATAGTAAGATAATTTAGAATTGGTGGAGTATTACAAATTACTTCTGAGAGAAAAAGAAAGAAGAAAATGAAATCTAGTTTAAACCATGAATCAAGTGATAAACATGGATTATATCAGTCAAATGACTTGTCAAGGTTAATATCAATTTGATCTAGCAAAAGAAAATTTGTACATGTAATACTTTTTGCCATTTAGATCTTCTTGGGAAAGAAGTATGGTAAGCATTATAAATAATAAAGTGAAAACCATTCAACTCCTGAAAACTTCATTGAATTCTAAATTGCAAGCTTAGACATGCTAACAAGAAATCTGTCAAAATTCATATTCATTTAATTATCTTTTCTATACCTAGTATTCATTAGAGAATGAAATATTATTTATGTCCTATGTTAGTTTTACAGATAAAGCTGAAATATATTCTGTTTCTTAAAGTAAAAAAAAAAAATCCCTATTGGGTTGTTTATTGAAAATCCTACTTCTATGTTCTTTTACCCTAGCTCTGGAATATTTCTCTTGGCAGAAGCACTCAAAGTTTTTAACTCCATCTACCATCCTTTGGTTCCTAAGTAACAAGGATAAGGATCACTTCAGTCAAACGTACAGTCTTTATTCTTACCAGTAACTTTCTTTCCTCCATACGCTACTGTCTTCTCACTCTGGTGAACCAGAAAGGAAGCTGTAAAGTGTCTCTCCTCAACTGCTTCTGTAAGATTAGAGCACATTCTGAGCAGCTGTCACCCTGACTCCTTTCCTTTAGTTACCATGTTGGTCCTTATACAGCATCAGGATCAGAATATATTGTAAAGTGGAAGAACTCTCAGCCCAAATGAAAGAGGGAGAATAAGAAAAAAAGTGTGTTTAAATCGGAGCGGCAAACCACTTCTTGGTTCAGTAATGACCAATGAAGCAAAACTAGAACATACTTGAAATTGTAAAAGGTGGGTGAACCAGGATGATCACTGGAACGGGAAAAATTATGGGTCAACACCCTCCTAGAAACTTAATCTCCCTCTTAGAAAACAAGGGCAGTGTGCACGTTGCATAACAACCAAATCTCTTGACTGACATAGTCAGAAACAACAGTGCCTCACTCAAAGATGGCAGCCAACTGCACCTCTGAATGTGTATTGCTGTCCAAAATCCTGGCAATAATCCAGTCTCCTACATCAACCTCCTGAAAAGTCTCACTATGCCTCTTCTGAGTCTCCTGTTCTAGGCCTTTAACCTATAATTTTTCCTGTTCTGGTTTTCATTCTGCTTCACCCAAATTTTAAAAATTCACGTCTTTTCCAAATTTCTTTCACCAGTTATGACTGAGCCAGTTCACAGTGGTTAGAAGCCCTAGCTTAAATACCCTTAAAAGTTATTCGTAGGGTTGCTGTGGCTCAGAACTAACTTGACAGTACCTAACAACAGCAACAACAAAAAAAAAAAGCTCAAAAGTGTTACATAAAAATCCTCAAATACTAAATTCCTCCCTATGCATCTAATAGTTCGCTAACCAAAACCAAACCAAACTCACTGCCATCAGGTCGAATCTAACTCATAGCAACACTCCTTGGATTTCTGAGGCGGTATCTCTACAGAAGTGGATTGCCCAGTAGGTCCTTATAATCCTTTCACTTCTACAATCAGGTCTTCCCCATTGTCTTGTGATATTTAAACCTAGGAAATATGGAAGTGAGAAAATATCTGGTACTCTTTTGGCCTACAATGAGATCCTATTTTGCCTTCCCCCAGTCTTTTCCAGTAGAACTGAGTTCAGATTCTGACTATCTCACTTATGTGACCTAGGGCAAAGTACTCAACCTCTCTGAACCTGTTTTCTCAGGTATGAAGTAAAGATACTAATTCTTACCTCACAGGACTATTGTGAGAATTAAATTAGATAATACACGTAAAGCATAATAGCTAGCAAATAAATGCTTAATAAATATTAGCTATATTCTTTAATGATAGCTCATTATCCCTTTTCTTAGTGAATCCTCTGTTATATGTGCTTTGATGCTTAATAGAATCCCTCACTAAGGTAGGCCAGTTGAGTGCATTTGGATATGGGGGACAGATCTATGTTTGTTCCAGACACCAGAAGAAATAAAAGTTTATATGAGCAAGTTGGAACAAGCCAACTATAGCTTACAAAACACCTTAGTTGCACAGATGGCTGTAAGAACTAGAGAAGCTAAATTATTCCACTTCTGCCCTTCTTTTTCACATAGATGAATTCCACATCTTGACCATGGAAGAATCGTCAATTTCATATCCTCTTCACAGTAGACCATGAGTGATACAGAAAAGGGTTATTCCTTCTATATAGAGCTTTGGAAACCTACAGTCTGATCACAAGATGATATCCCAAATCCCCCTAGGCACTGAATATTTTTCTCTTATGTATATCTTATAATAATTGCCTGCTCTGCCTTTCTATCTAGGATCTTAACAGATTCTCTTTTGTTGTATTTGTATTTTAACATTTTTATATTTTTCTCATTTTTTCCACAGTCCACCTTTTTTCAACTATTCCTATTTCTTGGCTATCTTTTCCTACCTCTTTTGAGTAGTACATTTCTTTTGCTCTATTAACTAAATCTCTCATAGATAGCAAATTGATAAAGCGAAACATTAATTCAAAGAACTAGAAAATTAGACTTTGAGTTGGTTTAGGCCCATAGATCTATAAGACATTTTGTCAGTTAGAGGATAGCAATTGAAGCAAATTAAATCAATACCATATTAAGTATCTAACACTCTTTTTAGTGAATGTAAGTAATACATGTATATGCTGATGGTTATGAGAGTACTATGCACAGTACAGAAAAAACATCACTTTTGAATGAATATAATTTTTATACCTGAAGTAGTTTTGATTATCTGTATTAGTGAGTTTTGTTTTTTTTATTGTGATTTGAGTGAAAGTTTACAGAGCAAATTCACTTTCCATACAGCAGCTTACATACACTTCATCTCATGATATTGACTGCAGTTTCCCACAGGGCAATAGTTCCCCTCCCACTTCCTCTCCATAGTTACCTCTTCCCTGTGTCCTTCCCTCCCATGCACTCCTGCTCCCTTGAGCTGTCTGCCTGTGCATACACAGCCCTTCTATTCACCCATGATTGACCTCTCCAAGCAGGGTGTCTACCTAATGTAAATGTTTAGCTCATATGCCTGTCTTTTGTTTAGCTGAAAGCCACAGAAGTGGGTTCAATTCCAGACCTGAAGGGCAGCCAGGGGCCATAATGGTTCCATCAGGCACTATCAGACCAGCAAACCTGGTCCCTTTTTTTTTTTTTTTTAACGATTTTGAGTTTTGTTTCACATTGTTCTTAGTGAAGTGGTTTTACAACTAGGACCAGACACAAAGTAGGTTTTCAGTGTTTGCTGAATGAAGATACAAAGAAAAGACATTCTCGAAGTTTTAATGACACTTTGTAAGCCTTTATAGCATAATAATAATAATAATAAGTTATATAACTGATAAAGTATTATAGTCAATTATTTATAAGAATGTACAGTGTAAATTTTTAAATAATTGTTTGAGTTTGTTAGTCATACTAGAACATTAGATTCGTTAAACAGCCTAGTTATATTTCCAAACTCTGCTTTGCCAATTGTGAAATGAAGATGAATTATTACAGTGTTGGTATTATTTTATCTGATTATTTTAGGTATTATTTTAGTACATGACTTAACAAATAAGAAATCATCCCAAAACTTGTATCGCTGGTCATTAGAAGCTCTCAACAGGGATTTGGCACCGACCGGAGTCTTGGTAACAAATGGGTAAGCCCAGATTACTTAAGATAGTTTGCAATGTTACAGTGTTTATAAGAATGTAACCTCCAAAAGGAGCCCCTGGTTTCACACTGAGTGGTTAAAGCACTGGTCTGCAAACTGAAAGGTAGGTGGTTCCCTCTGTGGGGGAAAGATGTGGCAATGTCCTTCCATAAAGATTACATCCTTGGGCAGGGCACAAACAGATATATGCACATTCATGTTCGTCACAGCACTATTCACAATAGCAAAGAGATGGAAACAACCTAGCAAAGAGATGGAAACAACCTAAGTGCCTATCAACCGAGGAATGGATAAACAAACCATGGTACATGTACACAATGGAATACTATGCAACCCTAAAGAATTACATAGAATCTGCAAAACACAGCATAACATGAATGAACTTGGAGAGCATTATGCTGAGTGAAATAAGTCAGTCACAGAAGGACAAGTATGTATTAGTCTACCATTATAAAAAGTCAAGGAAAGATTTATACATAGAAGGAAATAGTGTTTGTAGGTTACCAGGGATGAGAGGGAAGAGGAGGCCAGATTGTTAACTAGATTTAATATATATAGAGAGAGAGATAGAAATCAAAGATTATTAATGATTACCAGGGGTAGGAGAGAGGGAAGGGGAGCTTTTTTGTTTGTCGGGCATTGAGCTTATGATAATGGTGACAGAATATTTTAGAAAAGGATAGCAGTAATGGTGGCACAACATGAAATATGTCATCAGTATCCCTGAGCTGTAAATGGGGAAGTTGTTATGCTGGCGAATGTCTTGTTATGTATGTTTTCACCTCAATATGAGTTTTAAAAAAAAACTTTACCACTTTGGAAACCCAGTGAGGGTTGCTACGGGTTGGAATTGACTTGATGGCAGTGAGTTTGGTTTTGTTATACCCAGTATCCTTAATATTTTTACATAAAAGGGTTATGTAGTCAGCTAAAACAACATCTTCACATGAACAACTCTTGTTAATCCAAGTTTTCCCCTACTGTGCAAATATAGATTTTTTAAAAAATGAAAGTCAATATGTATTTTTAACTCTTCAAAACTTTATTTTTTCTTTAAAACTTTATTTTGTTGGTTTCATTCTACTGAATTGATTATAAATCTTGATCCTGTTGGTCATCACTTAAGAGTCAGGTTAGATGAGCCCTCTGAACATTTTCCACATTTAGAATAAATGGACAAAAATGACAGAAAACCTTTTGAGGTAGAATGGTAGTATCTTCTGAAAAGTAGGACAGCTGTGATTTTAGATTGTGATAACAGTTGTCATAGTTAAGGCATACTGTGTGCTCACTATTTTACAATACTGTTTAAATATTAAAAAATATTAACATCTAAAAAAAAAAGGATTACATGCTAGGAAACCCTATGAGGCAGTTCTGCTCTGTCCTCTAGGGTCACTATGAATCAGAATTGACTCAAAGGCAACGTGTTTGAGTTTTGGTTTACCCTCCAAAATAACACTCTGTAAGATGTTTGTTTGCAAATATCAAACATCCCAATGTGTGATGTCTTTTTTTAATAAAAAAAAAAAAAAATCTTTTATTGACAATAATCAATACTGGGGAAATTGCAGAAGAACTTTCACATTTATTTGCTAGTTTATAGTTTCTTAAGGTGGAACCTTAGATTTTTTATTTGAGACCTTTCTTCTTTGCGGGTAAAAGCATTTAATGCTGTAAATTTCCCTCTAAACATTGCTTTAGCTGCATCCCACAAATTTGGACATATTTTATTTTCATCTTCATTCATTTAAAAATATTTTCTAATATCCCTTGAAACTTCCTTATAGATTATTTAGAAATGTGTTGTTTAGGATCTAGAAATCTTTCTATTATTTTTCTGTTAGTGATTTCCAATTTTATTATGGTCTAAGGACATACTTTGTATGATTTCAGTTTGTTTGTTTTACATTTGTTCAAGTTTGTTTCATGACCACAAGATGGTCTATCTTCGTAAATGCTCCATGTGCATTTGAAAAAAAAATTACATATGTATATAGTTGTCTTATATATTACATCTATGTACATTGAAAACTCCATATAATCTATTGTATTTACCTAATAATTTACCATTTCTATTCCTCCTCCTTTACTTCTAATGTTCCAGGTTTTCTTCTGACAATATTTCCCTTCTGTCTAAAGAATTCCTTTTAGCAGTTCTTTCAGACTAGGTTTGCTGACAACTTCTCTTTGTTTTCCTTCATTGATAATGTCTTTATTTTACCTTCATCATTGAAGGACATTTTCACTGAGATACAATATTTGGGATAGAGAATTCATTTCTTTCATCACATTAAAAGTGGTGCCATTTTCTTCTGGCCTCTTATTTTTCATGAGAGAAATTTCTCTTCCTCGTAGTTTTGAGCGCTGAGTGCTCTCGTTGTGTTTGGCCATGGTCACAACCACCATGGCATTGCTGGAGGTGGAGGGATGAAAGAACAGAAAGAAGGAAAAAGACAGTGGATTTCCACACTCTTTCCAAACATTGTCATTGTTGTTGTTGTTGTTATCGTGTGCCATAGAGTTGGACCCAACTCATAGTGACCCCTCCTTGGGTTTCCAAGGCGATATCACTACGGAAGTAGATTGCCCAACCTTTCTTCCGAGGAGTGGCTGGTGGGTTTGAACCGCCAGCCTTCTGGTTAGCAGTCAAATGCCTTAGGCACTACTCTTTTCTGTTCCTTGACCCAGAAGTACAGGACTTCTAGAGTTCTCTTTGTCCATACCAATGTCCACTTTCAGGTTCCATTCTCATTTGCATTCAAACAGGGGGATATAGGAGGAGGAAAAAAAATCAGTTAATTTGCTGTTGGTTTAGTGGTACTTTGAATTCTGATCTTCCTCAGTCTGCCTGTATTGTTAACTTTTCAGATTCCTCAAATAGCTACTTGATGGATTCTGTCCAGGTTTTATGGCTTTATTCAGTGGGCAAGATAGGATGGATTTGCATACTCCATCCCACCCAGAACAGAACACTGTTTGCCCTTGTTAATTGGAGAATGGCATTTGAAGATTGTTTTCTGTGTGGAGATCTAATTGTTATTTGAAAATCAACTATAGTATAAGTTTGTGCATTAGTGTAGATTCATGGAAAATCTACTAAGGAATAAACAAATAATTTCAAATTCATATTTTAAAGTCTAGTTGATGTTTTCTGCCTCCCATCTTTGTTCCTTTCATCTTGGGTGTCTTCATCAACCAAGTTGGGTATTTTTTTTCCTACTAAAGTTGTAATTACTCAAGAAATTTATTCATAAATTTAGGATTAAGAGACAATGTATTCAGATCTGAAAGAAATCTGCATTGGTGGCAGGGAATTCAGAGTGGCAGTAAAACTTACAGATTTGCATTTTGACCCAACAATCTAATTTTAATACCATAGATGAACCTGCAAATGTATAAAATATTAATACATTGTTCTTCACTGGTGCATTATTTATAATAGTGAAATATCAAAAACAACCCTAGTGTCCAGCAACAAAAGATTGATTGAATAAATAATGGTATATACTCATATTGGAATACTATTCAACTATTTTTAAAAAAGGAATTAGGAAGATCTGTATGCTGAAATAAGGAGCTCTGGTGGCACAGTGCCTAAGGCATTTGACTGCTAACCATAAGGTCGGCAGGTCAAACCCACCAGCTGCTCTGCAGAACAAAGATGGGGCAATCTACTTTTGTAAAGATTTACTGCCTAGGAAACCCAATTGCTGTGAGTCGGAATTGACTCAACAGTAAGTTTGGTTTTGAGGTTATTTTGGTGGCACAGTGATTAAAGCACTGGGCTGCTAACCAAAAGGTTGGTGGTTTCAGTCTACTGGCCACTCTGCAGGAGAAAGATGAGTCAATCTGCTTCTGTAAATATTTACAGCCTTGAAAACCCTGTAGGGCAATTATCCTCTGTCCTTTAGAATCGTTAGGAGTCCAAATCAATTCAGTGGCAGTGGATAGTGGGTTACATACTAAAATGAAGAGATCTCCAGAATAAGTTGTTGAGTTAAAAATTCAGGGTTCTGAGAGTAAGATTATGTGTTTATATTTGTATGAAGAAACAATGAAAGGATGAACAAGAAGCTGGTAAAAATTACTTAGCATATTTTTTTTTTCAATTTAAGTTTGGAACCATGTAAAAACATTTTAACTTTATAATACAGAAAATTTCAAACATCCATAAACATACAGAATAGTATAATAAACCTCTGTGTACCTGTCAGCCACTTGCAACGTGGCCAGTTTTGTTGCGTCCACTCCTAGCTATCCTTCACCTTCTGCCACTCTGAGCTGATGGTTTTGAAGCAGGATTGATGTTGGTAAGAAGGTCTTGATAAAAATGCCTTCAACTCAAGTTGTTACTGACTTTGATGCAATAAATAGAATGGTAATATTTTTATGAGAAGATAGGTTATAGAGTTTGAAACAGTTGTGTTGCAAGGGTGAACAGTAGCTAAAGCTCTGTATGATGATTGTAAAGGGCATAAAAATTTAACAACCACCCCTCCCATATAGAGACTCAAAAAGAAAGAAAAGTACTATTAAAGGAAGAAAAAAATCTTTGCTCAACTGGGCCACATTGATTGGATCATGAAATATTGATGTGCTGTCATAAGTTGTTTGGGACCAGATTTTGCTGACTGTTGTGAATTGAACTTATGACCTATTAGAAATCCAAAACTATTTTATTTCTCATATGGGAATAGAATAAATTAATTCAACAATGGGCACTGTTTTCCTTTCAGTAATGAGAAGCATCATTTACATCATCACTCTACCTTTGGGTAAATATAGGAAAAAAATAAAGATTGCAGTAGTTAATGACTCAAGACTACTAACCCTAAGTGATTACTTTTTGCCTGCCTCCCACTGCTGTCATGTCAGGAAAAACAATTATTAGTAAATCCTTCCCTTTTACTATTCATTTTGCATTTCATCTGTTTATTTTCCTCTGTTGAATCCATCTTTTCCCAGGCCACAGTATCATCTGTATTAAATTTATTCTCACCCTGTTGTTGTTGTTGTTGTTGTTGTTGTTGTTGTTTGCCGTTGAGTTGGCCCCGACTCATAGCGACCCCTCCTTGGGTTTCCGAGGCAGTATCACTACGGAAGTAGGATTGCCCAACCTTCCTTCCGAGGAGTGGCTGGTGGGTTTGAACCGCCAGCCTTCTGGTGAGCAGTCAAGTGCCTTAGGCACTATGCTACCAGAGCTCCTAAGCATCCCTAAGGAGCTCTGGTGGCTCAGTGCCTGAGGCATTTGACTGCTCACCAGAAGGTTGGCAGTTTAAACCCACCAGCCACTCCGCAGAAGCAAAACTGGGCAAATCTACTTGCATAAGGATTTACCACCTTGGAAACCCAAAGGGGGTCGCTGTGAGTCAGAAACAACTTGATGGCAGTGAGTTTGGTTTGGTTTTGAAGCATCCCTCTTTGTTATTTTTCTGAAATGACCTATTTTGTTGTTGTTTTTGTTCACAAGGAGAAATGTGTATGGTAGGGAGCTCTGGTAGCATAGTGGCTAAGACACTTGCCTGCTAACCAGACGGCTGGTCATTAAAGTATGAATCCATTCTCTGCCTCTATACTAAAAAGTTCCTTCACTCTTACCTTAAGAAGATAGAGCTTTGGGGGAAGTAAGTCAGCCTACTTCACTATACCAGGTGGGCACTCAGTTGTTCAAGTAATCTGTAAAGACACATTGGAACCAATTTTGAGTAGTTAGATGAATAGTTGGAACTTGATAGGTGGTGAGGATAGATTGATAAATAAACAAGTAGGTGGAAGAAACTGGAAGAAAAGTAGGTTTATAAGTGCTATGTGAACAAGAACCAGTAAATTAAAGAAAAATAATATAAGCTGGTTCCATTTAACTATTGCACAGCTGTATGAGAAAGATAAATCCTATTCACCTCTTCATCATTATTTATCACAGGGATTATGATCGGGAACAGTTTGCTGATAATCAAATCCCACTGTTGGTAATAGGGACTAAATTGGACCAGATTCATGAAACCAAACGCCATGAAGTTTTAACGAGGACTGCTTTCCTGGCTGAGGATTTCAATGCAGAAGAGATTAATTTGGTATGTATTTTCACTAATGAATGTTTATATTAACAGGTAAAGGCAAACTGAAGACTTCACAAATCATATACAATAAAACCTATAAAAGTTGGAATTATGTAAGGCAGAAACCTGTCAGAGAAGGAAAACTTAAATGTTTTCCACTAGTAAAGAGTGATAGAAAAGGTAAGATTACACCCTGTCAAAGGCACAAAACTTGCAAGACCCAGAAAAACAAGGCAGTCTCACAAACATATGAAGAAATGCTCACGATCATTAGCTATTAGAGAGATGCAAATCAAAACAACAATGAGATACCATCTTGCTCCAGCACTAGTATCAA